ATCCGCTCCGGCTGCGGCGTCTCAGTATACCGCGAGCTGTAGGTCGCGGTATACTGAGCTTAGGGTAACGGGAGGACGCTAGTTTGTGTCCTCCCGTTACCCTAAGGAGAACTATGGGGAAAAACCCTGACCCCATAGTTCTCCTTTAAACGCTCTTGGCACATTTTTATATGCATAAAAAAGGCGCGCTGGCTGACTGGCAGCTCAAGAAACGTTGCAGTCAATGGACAAATGTGCGCAAACACATGCACGAAAATGTGCTACCTGCTTCTGCCGAGCGTTTTCTGTTTCCATTGAAGTCTATGGGGGAAAAATGAGCTTGAAACTGCCCAAAAAACTAATTTACATTTTTCTGCATTTGGCGTTTTGCTGCTCAGGTGTAAAAAAGGGCCATTGAAAATCATGGGATTTCTTGTTGCAGTCCAGTGCGATCCGGAAAAATGCTGCAAGCACTATTTTTGCAGATCGCACTGGACCGGAATGCAGGCACTAATGTGCCTGCGTTCCGGCTGCGTGCGTTCGCACTGTGAGCGGGGGGCATGGCTGCAGTTCTATTGGCTTCAATAGAACCCCACACCCCCTCCCGCCCCTGAACGCAGGGAGTCGGCTGGCTTACATTTCAGTGCGTCCTGGAGGCCCCAGCGTCCTGTCCTCCCACGGTGCTCGTGTGGCAGACGTTGCACATGGGGTGAGGTGTCCCGCCCCTTTCTATCTGCAGCGTCTGCCACATTCAGCCAGCAGCCGCACGAGCACTGCAGGAGCATAGCCGTAGCCAGCTCCTTTTGCGCCCGAGGCAAGAAAAAAAACGTGGGTGGATTTAAAAATAAATAACACTTGTTTAGATTGTGATTGTGTGTTTGAGAATGACTGAGTGTGTGATATTGTGTCTGTGGTTGGGTGTGTGGCTGTCAGTGTTTTGGAGGGTCCATTCACATTAGTACAGTGTGTTAATCGCACAGTCCTGTGCAATGCATTGCCATTCGTTTGAATGGCACCCCAAATGCATCACCCACCTACATTTTGGAACGTGCAGTGCCGCAATGCCATGTGTTCCATTGCAGTGCGACTTGGGTCGCGACTTAATGACCGAGGACAAATGTGGGTCCTGAGGTTACAAAGGTTGAGAACCACTGCTTTAGATGGACCTCACCTCTCTTCAACACCTCCAATCACTATTCAAATCCTGCGCCTTCACCTTCGTAACATCTCCAATATATGCCCCTTCTCACCAAAGGAACTGCAAAACTACTCATCCACTCACTTGTTATCTCTCGTCTTGACTATTGCAACTCGCTCCTCATTGGCCTACCTCTACACAGACTATCCCTCCTTCAGTCTATCATGAATGCTGCTGCTAGACTCATTCACCTGACCAACCGCTCAGTATCTGCAACCCCCCTCTGCCAATCCCTGCACTAGCTTCCACTCCCCCAAAGGATAAAATTCAAAATATTAACAACCACTTACAAATCTATCCACAACTCTGCCCCCGGATATATCTCAAACCTGGTCTCAAAGTATCACCCGTCCCCTCCACTCTTTCAAAGACCTCCTGCTTTACGCTCCCTCATCAACTCCTCCCATGTTCGCCTCCAGGACTTCTTTAGAGTCTCTCCCATCCACTGGAGCTCTTTACCCCAACCTATCCGATTATCTCCCACTCTGACTGCCTTTAGGCGATCCCTTAAGACTCATCTCTTCAAGGAAGCCTATCCCACCTCAACCTAACCACTGAACCATCACATTCTCATACAATTCATCCCCACACAGCTACCTCCTCACTTGCCCCTCCCTTTTAGATTGTAAGCCCTCACAGGCAGGGCCCTCACCATCTTGTCTTGAATTGTATTGTGATTGCAATATCTTCGTTATATTGTAAAGAGCTGCACAAACTGTTGGCGCTATATAAATCCTGTATAATAATAATAATAATAATAAAGAAGAACTCCAGGAAATTTGTGGGGCTACCCCTACAAATGCTTGTTTGTGTCTAGGTTCTAAAAAGTTCTTGAGCGTCTCTCCCACTCTGCTGCAGCGGTCTAAGGATCCTGGTGTCATCACATTCTATGCAATGTGCATAGACTGTGTACAGACGAGAAGATGCCGAGGAGCAGTCAAACTATGCTGCGGAGGAGGAGACATGCTTTAGTGATCACAAAAGCAGGGAGCCAGCTTGGATGGTCTGGTGAGTATAACATTTTTTAGCACCTAGACAAAAATTTAAAGCATAGCCAGCATAGAAAGAAAAACAGTAAAATGGGTCCATGATGAATAATTTAACATAGATATATACAATAGATTACAGTTGCATTAAGCCTGCAACAGAGCCTGCAACAGGACGCAATATTCCTATAACATTTAAACTGTGGATGGTCCTTCTCTGATTACCTTTAGATTACATGTACTGTGAATTTCCCATGCAATTCCCTTTGGTCAACATATACAGATACAATTGTATTAGACGATTATTACATGTCTTCCTACTCGCCCTGGGGATCCTGCAGGTGGAACCAAGGCTTCTATATATAGTACAGTTCTCAAAGGCAGGACCACAACACACTTTCCATGGGGGGGGACTGTCTTCCTCAATAAAACTGTGACTTCATATAACTAAAATTGAAAAGAACATAATTTTTAGCACATATAGAATTGATTTTTTTAAGAAATGAAGGTAGACTTGCAACATTTCTGAAATATGCCCGCTTTGTTGAATGTACTTAGTGTAGGGATGTCTGATTGAAGACATAAAATGTGTTACACTGAGCTAGTGTATAAGAGCATCATTCATCAGCACTGGACAGCTCCTCCCAGGATGCAACTCCCACTAACAGCTCACTCCTGCCTCTCCTCCCAGCCTCTGCTTCCCTCTTTCATTATTGCTTTTCTCCTGTCCAGTGCACATTGTGCATGTCAGTACCACATCCCTCTCGCAGATGGATGCTGCTGACTTTTCTACTCTGTTTGCAGGCTGATCTACGAAGGAGCTAAACACTCTCAACATCTCTTCACCCGGCTTGGTATATTTTACCTATCGCATTGGCATTTTGCAGAGGTCGGACACCTTCCTCCTGTTGTGACTGAAGCCCTGGCACTTTGAAGATGCTGGGCAAGGATTACATGCTTGCTATCATTATCGTTAATTATGACGGTAAGTTGATTTGATTATACAGTCTGGAATTCCCTGTAGTCTCTTCAACAGTAGCATTATGCGCAAGAAATGAGTTGCCTTACAACCATTATTAGTTAAAGATTTGCTGTATCTATGCAGACTTTCATGATGGCTTCCTGGAACATCAGGTGAGAGGCACAGACTACATGTACAGTATGCAAACCCAGTGCGTACTTAAATTAATAATTGACTATCACTTATTGTCCCTAGAAAGATAGTTCCTTTTACAGGTGTTGAGTTTTAAATCAAAAACCAGCAGTGTGTATTCCTCTGTATAACTATAGTTTATCAAATAGTTTACTGTGTGTTTGTGTACATGTTTTCTTCTTAGTTAATACCCACATTTAAACATAAAGCTTCATTGAAACTTTAAAAATATTTTTATGTAAATATGAAGTTGCAGATTTGGTGTTTCTAATACTGAAATTTCAACTTCTTAAATCATGATGACCGATGGCTACAAATGACAACCATGTGTGGCAAGATTACATGTAATGCAAAACAAAAGTTTTATAATCCACCAAAATACTAAGAGTGTCAGTTCACAAATAACTGATATATTAGTGTGGGGAGGCTTTTGGCAGGTTCGGACCTCACACAGACATCTTATATATCCAAGAAAATCTGGTGGAAGCATTTTGCATTTGAGGGTCTCAATTTTTTTATTGGATTTTAAATTAATTTTAACTTTATGCAGAATGTAGCAGGAGGAGTTAAACACCATGCTGAGAATGGCTAAGGGGGGACTCCAACAGAGAGTACTCTCAGCTGCAATATATGAGAGATGAAAGCATCCAGTATATCATTCATCTCACCCAAGTCCATCCAAAGCTGAAATATTAGTAGACTGGCCCATCAAGATTATGCTTTTTAAAAGTATAATGTCACCTTTTGGAATATTTTATATTGAATGCCAGAAATATTTTAACTTTGTAAACATTATTCATAATATCACTATAAATCATCTGCAGGTTTTTGAAGACTTTGTTGTGCCCAATGAGGAATGTTCATGTTTAACTTATTCCCAAGGTAGTCTTTTCTGCTCTTACCTACAGTTAACTATGGAATGTTCACAAACCCTAATCCCCAGGTGGCAGCAAATAAAACTGCAGTAGTTCCCAATACACACAGTGGATGTTTAAAAATAAAGAAGAAAGTTGATAGCCAAAGCTGTCTAATAGAATCATTATTTTGATAACACTCTAAAAATGGCGGTGGTTTTGTTGCTCTTGGGGTTGAGCCAACACGAGCTGTGAATGGCTGGGGGTTGTGGGTAATTACATTTTCCAGGAGGTGGACCCCTTTAATGATGTCAGCGCAATATAAGCAGCATTATTGGCATGCAGCCACCTTTCAGTGGCTGAGAGTGATAACCACGGTTAAATGAAAATATTTATGTGCACATGTTTATGTTTTTATGTATGTGTGCAAAATTACTGTATATCTTTATTTCTCTTTGAATGCATTTATAGTAGTGGCATGGACATATTTATTTTTTATTTATTACTATACATATATAGACTAAGGCCATGAAAAAGATTACCTTGCTTTTGCATTTAAAGTGATTTGATTTTGCCCATTGGCATTTCTGCAAAATGATGGTAAAATCTATTTTTTAAATAACTTTCATCCATGTATAAATAATCAGAATTCAGTTTGAACCTTTTATGGTATTCTGCTTCGTACCTTTGAGGTCCCCGGTGATATGTGGGGGTGTACAGGTACAATGAGAGCATGCTGGGGCATATCGACGTAATTAAACTACAAGTCCTAGCATACCCTCATTGTCTCACTACACCCCCCCCAAATATTACCCAGGGAACTACAAGTTCCAGCATGCCCTCATTGTCCCTGTACACCCCCAATTATCACCAAGGGAATAGTAACAAGCTGATTGGCAGGCTCCTGTCCTCCTTCTGTCCTGGGGAGTCCGGGTGCCTGTAGGGAAGGAACCTGCCAATCAACTGGTTATCATGGGCAAGTGGGCCATGATATTTTTTACTTTTTAATCACCTTTTTATTTTTTTCATTTAATCATGTTTTTCTTATTCTTATTTTTTTTTATTTTTTTATTTGTATTTTTTAAATTATTTTTTTATAAATGTTTTTTCACTTAACTTTACCGCTATCACACAGGAGCTAACATGCCCCTGTGTGATAGCATTTGGAGGTGGCAGGTTCTCTTTATTGAACCTGTCACCTCCAGGACAGAGATTCCACACCGCTGCAGCCTTTCATTCGCCGGGTCTCGCCGGGTCACTGCCTGCCGGCCGGTCACTGCTTTGCGCCCGGGGCAGCCACACTGCCCCCCGGTTGTTACGCCACTTCCCCCACCATGCCCTGTGGATCAATTATTACACAAGTATTATTGTGTTGTGGACAACTGGTGGCAGAAAAACTGATTGTTTTATTGAATTGGAAGCACAGTTTTATCAACTTACCACCAACTGTTTTTTACTTTATCTGATATCCCAAAAAAGTTCTTCAAACTGGTTTTAACCAGCCTTTTATAAGCATGAGGCTCCATTTACACATGAGCGGTTTTCCGCGTGTATTTGCATGTACGAATACGCGTGGAAACGCGCTAAACATAAAAACCAGTGCATTGTTCAGAGTATTGCGGCAGCCGTGCGGTATGCAAAATAGTCCAAGCACAATTTTATGGGCAGATTCTGCCGGTTATAGTAATATAGTAATAGCCGCAAACGCGCAGAATCCTGCTCATATGTTACCGTTTGCGCGTTCTCGTTCTGTGCGGTTTTCCTGGAAACCGCTGCCGCTATGTGTGAATGGAGCCTGAGATGCTGTCCACTGGGAGGACCCCAGTGTATTTACATTGGTCAGGATACGCCAGCCATTCTGATGTAATAGTGTTCACAGAACCTATATATCTTAGTGGTCTCACTAAAATAGCAGATTTTAACTGCAGGGTATTCTGCTGTTGAAGTCTAACATTGCAGCTCTGGTTCCCTGTAAGTCTGAAGATTTAGGCAAAAGTAAAGACCCTCTTTGTTACAACAACACAAAAGGAACACATTCATTGGGGGTTTGCAGTCACCACATTGCAACTTTGTGCCAATCGAAAGGAAGTTAACAATGTAAAACTGCTAAAATATCAAAAGCAGAGTGCTACAAATTACCTTAATAAATACAGTATACACTGTAAGTAGACATGGGGTTGAGTTCTTTAGCCCAAAGCCTTTTTGGTAACATGCTGTGAGCTACGTCTTGGGGCTCTTTTCAATATCTAGTATCAAGTGGCTTGCTTTTATTAGCTCTCCTCCTTGCTGGTATTGAGAGAATTGAGTTTGGTATCAAAAAGACTTGATCTTTAGAACTCTGAACATGACAAAAAGCCTTTTATAGCCAGAACAAAAAACTAAAAAAATAAAAATAAAATCATCAGACCGCCAGGGAGGCTAATCTGTCAGCCCGCTGGATGTGTGGTAATACTGTATGTACGGTAGCTTCGGCTACATACAGTATACCGCGCTGAGCCAATCATGGCAGGCTTTGTATTAAGGAATACAGGCTTTGTATCCGTTAATACAAAGCCTGCCGTGATTGGCTCAGCGCAGTATACTGTATGTAGCTTCGGCTACATACAGTATACCGCGCTGAGCCAATCATGGCAGGCTTTGTATTAAGGAATACAGGCTTTGTATCCGTTAATACAAAGCCTGCCGTGATTGGCTCAGCGCAGTATACTGTATGTAGCTTCGGCTACATACAGTATACAGTATACCACATCCATACCCGGCGTATAAGACGACCCCCGATTTTCGGGCAATGTTTTCTGGTCTCAGAACCTGTCTTATACCCCGGCAAATACGATATATACTCTATATGTAAGGTTCACGGCTAGGAGTGAGAGATATAAGGAGGCACGCTTTGCTTATTCCATGGTATGCCCCTCAATGACCATACAGTGGGAAGATTTTATCTAAACTGTAGCAGACAAAATCTGGAACAGCTGTGTATGGCAACCAATCAGCTGCTCTCTTCAGTTTGTTCAGTTAAGATTTGAAAATAAAAGAGAGAAGCTGATTGGTTGCCATGCACACCTGCGCCAGATTTTGTCTTTTCCAATCTTCTATTTTAGACTTTTGGTGAGCCCTTGCAAACTGCAGCCTCAGTTTCTTGTTCTTAGCTGACAGAAGTGGCACTCGGTGTGGTCTTCTGTTTGCCTTAGCCCATCTCCTTCAAGGTTCGACGTGTTGTGCGTTCAGAGATGCTCTTCTGCATACCACGGATGTAACGAGTGGTTATTTGAGTTACTGTTGCCTTTCTATCATCTTGAACCAGTCTGCCCATTCTCCTCTGATCTCTGGCATCAACAAGGTATTCTTGCCCAGAGAGCTGCCGCTCACTGGATATTTTCTCTTTCTCAGACCATTCTCCATAAAGCCTAGAGATGGTTGTGTATGAAAATCCCAGTAGATCAGCAGTTGCTGAAATACACAAACCAGCCAGTCTGGCACCAACAACCATGCCATGTTCAAAGTCACTTAAATCAACTTTCTTCCCCATTCTGATGCTCTGTTTGAACTTCAACAGACCATCTTAACCATGTCTACATGCCTAAATGCATTGAGTTACTGCCCTGTGTTATTTGGTTGATTATATATTTGTGTTAACGAGCAGTTGAAGAGGTGTACCTAATAAAGTGGCCAGTGAGTGTATATTACCTTGTAAAAAATACCAAAAACTAAATTACTTATAAACAGACCCCTATGTGTACTTCACTACTATAGTAAATGTGTTATAATAGTCTGGCATTTAAGAAAAATATGTCAAAATTAAAACAGATTATGGGACGATGCTTTCACCTTCCAGGTATATTAAAATAAAATATTGTAGATGTTATAGAGATACCCCCAGTTTTGCGTTTTTGAAGCACTAATTCACAAGGTGCTAAAATATACATCATTTAAGCAACTATAAACACCTGCAGTGCAGCGATGGCAATGCTTTCCCTA